TAGATCTCCTGTGACAGGTATTTACATTCTTGCTTATATTAAAAATATGTCTTATTTTTTCGTATTAATTTTTTTTTAATTCAAATTTTTAAAAAGTTGCTGATTTTAGTGCACAAGCAGTGGTAAACACAATATTATATGAATCTTTTCCAAATGATCCCATTGTTGGAGAAGAAGACTCGGGAAGTTTACGTGGTGATAACAGAAAGGAACTGAGAAATAAAGTCTTATCATTGTTTAACACTGTTGTAGATACTCCTTTGGGCGATAATGTAGGTTTGATATAAGTATTTTATTATTTGTTATACAGGGGTACCATGGGTTACCGAACGATTTACTTATGCGGCACAAATAAACCATTCGATAACCCACAGTGTAGATTAATTTAATCGTTAAGATTTCTAATTTAATTGGTTTGAATAACAGTTATTAGATGCGAAATTTTCCCCATGGCTCACGTGGATGTTAGTAACATTTTTGAGGTATATTTATTGCGCTTTGATATATTAAAATAACTTGTTACATTAGGAATGTGAACTCTTGATCTGATTGATGGAACCATGGGATTTCTTCGTGGAGACCAATTTTGTGTTGGGTTAGCATTGATAATTGATGGTGATATTCAGCTTGGTGTCTTAGGATGTCCAAATTTACCAGTAGATCTTAAAGCACCCGAGGGTGAAAGAGAATGTTTGTTTGTTGCCATTAAGGGACAAGGTGCTTTTCAGGTAAGAAGCAAAAAATTGTATTCCGCTTTACAATTTATATTTTAGAATTTCATCATTTTGATTATGATCTAAATTAATTAAACAATAGCACAAGTTTTCTTCAACTGAAGAGATACAAATTCATATGGCAGATATTTCATCACCATCAGTAGCTTCATTTTGTGAATCAGTTGAAACCTCACATTCTTTACATGATGATGCGGCAAAAATTGCATCATTACTTGGAATCACAAAGCAGCCTCTCCGAATTGATAGTATGTGTAAATACTGCGCAGTTGCGAGAGGTTATGCAGATATTTATCTAAGATTGCCTGTTCGTCCTGATTATGAGGAGAATATCTGGGTACATATCATTAGGAATTATATGCATTTTTTTTATTATACTAGTATTAATAAACATTTTTTTTAATTAGGATCATGCAGCTGGATGTGTTCTTATTAATGAAGCAGGAGGAACAGTTGCAGATATTTATAATAAACCTTTGGATTTCTCTTTAGGAAGAACTTTAAAATCCAACAAAGGAGTCATGGTTGCACATTCTAAAATATTCGGACAAGTAATCGATGCTGTTTAGCAAGCTATTTTAAAAAAATAGTCAATAATCACTTAGAATTACATTCGTAATTATAATTTAAAGAATGTATTATACAAATAATTTTCAGTAAAAAAAACTCTTCTTAATATGACAAGCTTTCAATAATAAAAATTGAATACGAAATTTATCATATGATACTTTCAAAACTGGTTATTTTATATTATCGATATCAAATATTTGTTAATTTTGGAACGGTCCTGTGTTATGATTATTTACACAATAAAAAAAGGTAACTGGTTATTCAAAATAAAGAGTATAATTCGTTTACATCATTTATAAGATGACTTTCAATTGAGTATTGATTAATTTTTCTTAACAGATACTTTCTAATCATCTGCAGTACTCCTTGTTCGCAAGCTCATCTCTAATGCTTGTCTTTTTTTGCTAAATAATTATGGCTTATTTAAGTTTTTTTATGAGGAAACACGTCAAAGTATGTCACAGCTCTACGTTTATACTGTAACGGTTGTGTTTGGGAGAGCAAGGCGGTTATAGACAAATAGTGCCAATTTGAGACTCCAACCGTGTACGAAATTGGGGTTTTTATATAAATAAAAGAAATAATAAATTTGACTTAAAATGAATCAAGCTTTAGAACGAAGACTGACTTATTGCGATTTGAGCTATGATAATAACTAAAAATGCATACACGAAAGAAGGATGAATTAAAATAATTCGGAAATGGGATCAAGGGTTTGGATGATTGATTGATAATGATGTTTTAATAAATGACTTGATTGAAATATTAGACTTAAATAAATCGGTCTTAAGAACAAAGATCAATATTCTCGTGATTGAAAGTCGATTTCAATAAATTCTGATACTTTAATTGATAAATTCTAATTTAATTCAGATACTGATAAAATCAGCTGATGCTGGTGATGCCAAAGGTGGCGGGCGTAGTACTTTTCTCGTGTCAACTTAATTCTTTCTTAAGGCGAGACACTTCCAAATGAAAATCACGTGACAAGTTCCAAAATGTAAGAAGACTGTTACACCAAATTTCGAGTCTTAATAAGCCGTATCGAAATTACAAGTCAATTCAGTCCGTCGAATTGAGTTACAAAAGGGTTTATTAAATTTAAAGTCGAAATTTATAATCGAAAAGTATTTTTATGTTACTACTTATTATTTTATTTTCATGAAGGATGTGGAACTTAAATGACTTTATTAAAACTGAAGGTCTTATATACATTTTAGAATATTACAACACATTTGCGGAATTTCCAGCATTCTCGCTAGATTTTCTACAAAACCTTTAAAACTTCAGCATGATTGTTGTTTTAATTATGCGTCCGCTGTTGTGACTGCATCCTCACAGTATTTACTGCATAGTTACCATACATTTGATTTTCACATGTCCCATCCCAAGCCACTTCCATTTTAGTATAACTAATTGAAATGTCTAAAATTAATAATACATGGGCATTGTTATCAAAATGGAATTGGTGGGGTAAAATATTTACATATATGAAATAAGACTAATAACATAAAATAAAAGATAAAATATAATAAAATAATATATAATAAAATAAAAAAATCGAACACGGGATTAAATGAGTACACAGTAACGAATGCAATTCATTACAGTACATCATTCTCCTAAATTTTTTACCAAACAATGATTGATTATATAAATTCAGTTTATTCGCATTGATTTATCATTATTAAAAATTATTCTATCAAGATCCTACTAATTGTTCTAGTCACTTTGATAACACATCATCAAACAAATTTATAAAATAAAAATAAGATATAATTTAGAACAATTGTCAATTTTTATTAAAGAATGCTGCATTATCAAAGATTTAATGTTGGGAATTCTGAGTGCACCCTCTACTATAATCACATCTTCAAGATGCAAAATCATAGAAATTATTTGGATAAATACCCATAAAAATTATTTAAAAATATGCTTTGTCGGCTGGTAATAATACTGGAAAAGCTGGTTCCGGAGCACCACTTTGTAGTTTGTTTCAATATAACTCAATTGCTGTTTTTAAAAGCTAAAGATTCATCGTTCCTGTGATTCAAATATAGAACCTATGTCTTTACTATTTGGAGAGGATGATGACTAGACCACTTCACTAAGATGCCACACCTCTATAAGTTAAATATTTTAAAAAATAGACTTGTATATATTTTTAAGTTTTTTTAGGTTGACCCAAATTTTTTTAGATTACACAAAATCATTAATTTTGATTGGTTTATATCATATGATTATTAAATGATTTTTGCAATAATCTTTAAATTAATGTATATACCTGAATATCAACCAATCTTGATGATTTTACTATCATTAGAATTAGAAAATTCTACTTTACAATTTTTATTAAAAATTTATAAATAGTTTATTTAATAATATTTTCTTTAATTTTAAAAAGTAAAAAATTTACTATTAGTTTTATATATATTGTTATTAAGATAACCTTTTGGCCAGAGTTCTTTATTAGGTTATCAAATTATTACATACTATTATCATACTTTATAATATGAAACATTACATATAAATACCCTTCTAGGATTTACTATTTCTAGTTTATTCTTGAGGTAAACCTATCAGAACAATGAATATCCCATATATTCATCCACTTGCATGTTCTGTAACATCTTTTCTAACTAGTACCTGTTGTACTGCTATCACCTGAGTCTGTATCTCAAATTACCTTTTATTGTATTGCTATGACCCAATTCATATCTCAAGCTACAACCTTTCTAATTAGTTACCTGTTTTATACTCCAGCCCTTATTAGATTTGTGACAACCCCAGTACTCACTTTCTGATGCATGTGATTGGCTCCAGAGACATCACTGTTTCCAATTCAGTTAGCCTGGAAGGATTCTTCCTCCTCTAATGGCCAAGGTTGGTGTGACTCCTGACTTTCAAAGGGGTCATGATTATTGGGCCTCCAGTTGAGTTCCCAATATAGTCTTACTTCTATAGTACTGTTAAAAGTTAGCCACCATTTTCAATTCAGATCTTCCCAAGCAGGTTCCCTGTACTTAGAATAATTCTCAAAATTCAAGTATTAATATTTGGATTTATTGAGTATTTGCACTACCCAAACCAGTTAGCATTCCTTTATAATTTCCATAGATCTCACAAATGCCAAGAATTTTCCAATATACCAACTAATTAGTCCTAGTATAAACTTAAACTACAGATCTTTGTAATCTGATAATTAGTACTCTGGTCACTATAGCACAGGCTGTTTTCCAAAAAATGCCATCTGTGGAATTTGAACTCTAGACCTGCTGTTTGGCAGATAATATCTTAAACTACTTCACTAAGTTGCCACATCCTTATTAGTTTTATATATTGTATCCTCTACTCTTAAATTTTAGTTATCAAATTAACATGTTAGTCAATTAATACTTAACTCAAAAAATTTTTTGGGTTTAAATTTAGATTGATAATGCATCTAACCCTCTTATTACAGTTTTTTATGAATTAACATACAGGCATGTAATTTCAAAATTTGGCCCAAATTAAGCTTAATTCAGGTCATTATTCTTAATAACACTCATAAGTATAAATACAATATATATAAAAATATTAAAATGGTGTATTCTAACTTGGAATAGTTAATTATATCAATCAAAATCAAATATTGTTGAACCTCCCAAAATCGATCTTCTCAAAACTGATAACTTGTCAAATCTGATAAAAAATTAGTTTACAAAGTCCATTTCTGTTATATAAATCTAATAGTTTATAATGCTTTCAAATCTGATAACCTCTCAAAACTGATACAAAATCTGTCCACCATGCATATCGGTTTGGGGAGGCTCGACAGTATTTACATATTAATAGTTAAAAATTTTAAATATTAGTATGTTATAAATTCGCCGCAATGCAATTCATATAAATTCTGAAATTTGAGATAGTATGTACAGTCATCAGCAAAAGTAATGCCCGATTTTGATCATATGGGGGTGAGTCAATAGAAATCAAGCAAATTTTTTATAATAAAATTTTTTTCTAACTTTAAACAAGAATAACTT